TCCAACGGCGGCCGCTCAGGCGACTGTCCCACGCACAGCAACCGACACTACCACCACCTCCCCCGACTCCAGGGATGAGGATCAGGACTATACCTGCCCTCACTGCGACCGTACCTTCACCTCACACATCGGCCTGGTCGGTCACTTGCGAATCCATCGCACAGGGGCTGGCGAACCAGTACTTGGAGCACCAACCTATACCCACCACGCTCGACTCAACTGCCCACACTGCCCTCGCACCTTCAGGCATCGCATTGGCCTTTTCGGCCACATGCGCGTCCACGAGAGCGGCCTTGACCGCACTCCCGACACGCCCACTACATCCAACACATCCACCGTGCACACCCCCACTCTCGTTCCATCTGTCCGCGCCACCACCACCACCACCGCCTCCTCTGTAGCTGACACTGACACCGCCGACTTCTCATGCCCACACTGTCCACGCACATTCACCTCACACATCGGCCTGGTCGGTCACTTGCGAATCCATCGCATGAGACTGGCGAACCAGTGCCTGGAGCACCCACCTATACCCACCAAGCTCGTCTCAACTGCCCACACTGTCCTCGCACTTTCAGGCATCGCATGGGGCTATTCGGCCACATGCGCATCCACGACGACCTGCGGTAGACAACCGCCGGCCACACCACACATTCACTCACTCCCTATCTCCTCCACCACCACCATCACCCCACCAGAAATCAACACTCACACACCTCATGCACCCAACTGCCACCTCCCACGCAAGTGGGAAGTCCGCATCTCGACTCGGTCCCCATGCGGCTTCGGCTGCACGGGTGACTTGAGTCCGAGACTATCCCGACACGTCAAGCGTCGTGGATAGGAAGGTTGCTGATTAACGCCCGTTCTCGTATCACGCAGTTCGTCGCGTTGTGTGTGTTGTGTGGAGTGGCGGGCTGGTGGGCTGGGAACGGGCTGAAACAGCACCTTTCACGGCACTCTCACGCAAGTGAGAGACACGCCGTTCAACCCCCGTTGTGTGAAATCCTGGTGTTGTGTGTATGGGGGGCCAGGTCGTGCCGTGGCGCGCGCAGTCATGGTCAGTCGACCATGACAGCCACCGCGCCCATTCCCCACTCCAGTCTGCTGACCGGCTCGGATAGCGGCTGGGGTGTGGGAGTGGGAAGGGAGAGTGAGGTCGACGACTCAGCGCACTTTCTCCTCACTATAAACAATCTGACGCGCTTGAAGCTATCACGGTGCGCTAAAAGCCGTGGCTTGGAAGGTTGCCAACTGACGGGGTAACTTGGACCTCCTCCATGACCGGAGGCGGTCTGAGAGTCAGGCTGCAATGGCTCCTTTTTAATGTGGCCTTTATGGCACTCCCATCACAGTGTGGGATCCGAGCCAGGCGTTGGCGGCACGCCCAGGTGCGGCTTCGGCCGTGCCAGCCTCCAAATCTCTCTTGTGTTGGTTGAAATCCTGGTTATTTGTTGTGTGGGCCAGGGGTGTGGTGGAACGCCAAGGTGAGGATCCGTCCGAGCCATCCACCTGCGGCCTCTCTCGTCGCCGGTCTTCTTGACTCTGTCTTGACACCGGGCTTAGGCGAGGGAGGATGAGAGAGTGTAGGTAGATGCTACGCAAGTCTGCCGGCACTATAAACCCCTGCGCAAGTCACCGTCCCTGCTCCCACCGTTGCAGCTGCAACTGTGGGGCACACGGTGGACATCATCGAAACCGATGGTCGAACTGTCATGTTATTGCCGACAAAGACAAGAGAGAGTGGAATGACAATTTCTGCCTTATTAGCCGTCATCAGTCAATCATACCCAACCCCGAAGTGTGGAACACCTGGGGCTTGATCTCGCGACATGTAAGCTAGACGTTCCGTAACACGATCGGTAATCGGCACATTACCATTGCTTATTCTGGCTGACGACGTCTAATAAGCCAGAAATTGCCATTGCAGTCTCCTTTGTCTGTGTCGGTAATATAACCTTGTCTATATGCGTGAAGATCCGAGGTCCAGATCTATTACCGTGTTTATCATCCCCCGAGGAAGACGAAGAGGAGAAAGCGATTTCATGGACCACATTGTATACAAACCGACGTTTCGGAAACTCTCTCGCTTTCGTCATCAGTCGTTAGCTGGCGCTTCCTGCTGGCCTTGATTTGCTCAGCCTTGCCGCCTGCCTCGTAGTGCAACCGTGTCCAGCGCACGTACGTTGGCTAGCCTGTTCTCTGTTGGCTGATTGTGGCCTATCTGATCCCAGCCATTGGTGGACTGGCGTGCCTTGTGTCCCCCCTCGTTGGCCTCCCCCTCGTCAGACGGCGCGCTGATCGACCGTTGTTCCTCAGGCGTGGTGTTTTTGGTCTCGCGAGTACGTTCATGAGGCAGTGTGCCACGCCGGTCACATGACATTCGGTCGGCGCCTTCCCCTCTTTCCGCGAGCGTCGGCAGTCGACCCCGTGTGACTGTTTTCATCCGTGATATTGGCCCTGCCCGGACTGACTCGAGCCTTGCGCGGAGCGCCTGGTAGGGGGGATGTGTATAAATATGATGTACGATGATGATGTAAATAGGGTGTATATGATATGTGATGTATGTAAATATGATGATGATGATGATGATGATGATGATGATGATGATGATGATGATGATGATGATGATGATGATGATGATGATGATGATGATGATGATGATGATGATGATGATGATGATGATGATGATGATGATGATGATGATGATGATGATGATGATGATGATGATGTATATGATGGTAGAAGGGTGCTCACCGATCGTTCTTACGGAGCTCACTCGTTCCGTTGTGTCTTACAGGCTCTCTCTCGAGCCCAACCAGCCCAAGCCGAGGTCTTTTTAGAGCAAAGCAGGAAAAATAACAGGAATAATAATAAATAAATAATAAATAATAAACAATAAAGAATAAGAGAAGAAATACAGACATCTGTGAATCGCCCAGCTAAGGGTTGAGGTGTGTGGTAGGGATGTAAATGACGCATGTAAAGGAGAAGTTTACGAACTTTAATTTAAAGGGACTAAATATGTGGGGAAATAAAAAATTTGATGACAAAGTAACGCCAAGGTACCTGAAAGAGGATTCCTTGTTGGTAAGGATGTCAAAGGATTCAGGACTAGGAGGGAGCCGCAGTCGGAAAATACATCAAATTGATTTTTGATTCACTTTTAACCCAAATGTGAAAAACTCGGTGACTCGGTGGGATTCTAATCCAAAACAGCACGGGGAGGCTTTAGTACAGTCAACGCTCTTACCAGCTCAGCCACAAGGCCCCACCAGACGACGCGAGTTCAATCACATTTGGGTCAAGTTCACCCGCCTAGCCCACCGCAGCGTCTGGAATCCACCAAATCTGATGCAGTAAGCTGACTGCCCAAGCAGGATTTCCTAAGTAATACATCTGGAATCCACCAAATGACTACCAGGCACACGTAATTTAGAGGTATTTTGACAAATTTCAGATAACTGGACAGCCCTCCCCAGGTTATTCGAAACTGAAAGAGCTTGTTTTTCCTAATTAAAGCCTGAAGATAGTGTTTTCCTGCTCCACTTTGTGTCGCACGCACGGGAAATAAGGAAGGATTTTGGTTGGAAATTTCTTCAATTCTGACCAACGGTCAGATGGCAGGACCTATAATCATCGTGACCGACGATGTCAGCCGTGTGTTCCACAGCAGGGTGAGGGCAGGAACAGTGACTTGCGCGTAAATTAGTTTACAGTGATAGTGGGCTTGTGCCTCATCTGCCTCACCCGCCCTTCCCCCCCCCCTTCACCTGGGACCGGCGTCAAGACATAGTCAAGAAGTTCGGAGGCGGGAGAGGGCGCAGGTGGCTGGCAGGGTGTAAACCCACACCCAGGCGTACCACCCCAACCCCTGGTCCACAACGGACACCGACCAGGATTGCGCACAACAAATTAAGAGGGAGGACAGCTTGTAACCCAGCTGGCGTGGCGTGGGCCCGCAGCTGGGCGTGCTACCACATCTCAACTGTTGGCATTTATTAGGAGCGCGCATTTCCAATAACGTCCTCAATCTGTGTTGGTCCAGCGCGTCCACCGTGTGGCCAGATTTAGGGACAAATAAGAATGTATAGGACGCAACGGAACGCATTGCCGCGGCGTTTGGCGTGAGTGTCGCCACCCTTCGACAGCTACCATGTGTAGTGGAATAATGTAATGGAAGGACCGGCTGGATGCAGGTGAGCAAACGGACGTAATTTTTCAAGTCGCTTGACACAACTGTCCACAGACTGCACATCTCAGCTCAGGAAAACTCGAACACAAGCAAGGCGCCCAGAGAGGCGATCCGGTGTCCTCAATCACTCTGGAGCAGGTGAGAGGATTTCGCCTCCTCTGGGCGTTTTGTTTCCGCACAGCCTAAGTCCTGCATCGGTGATAACCTCTAGGAAAGAATTTAACGATGAAGTTATCGAAATTGAGCAGGCAACTAAAGTGCCCATCTCAAAGCCCCCTCTTTTCTCAACTGTCAAAATTAAGATATTCGTTGGTAGTGAGGTCGGATTTATCTATCACTGAAGGCTTCGAAGAATAAATTGCCGTAGTTTTTCGGCGTTTCCGACGTTTGGGACGTACCCGAGAGAGACTGTTTCTTCGGCAGAATAATTTTAAGGATATTACCTAACAGGTGTTGAGATCATTTTACGGAAAGGATCATGAGTGCTGGATTTGCGCAGACAAGAGTGTAGTGTCATCAAATAAATTCAATGGTCCTCCCAGCTGTCTTTTGAACTGACAACACCAATAATGGGCAATCTCTTCTGCCTTCTCCTTCGACAAATACTGCAGAACAAGACAAGATCTATTTTTTACCAGCCTCCGCTACGTTCAGTTGCTAGTTTTACGGCATGAGTCTCACGGGCTGTGGAGGTTAGCCCTCAGTAGAAAGCGGATGATCACACGATCTTACTAGTGGGTGTTGCCGATTTCGGAACAACGCATCAGTATGCCATTATGCGTTCGGCAGTATCATCCGGTTGCGTTTAAGGTTATATTCCTCCCCACTGACCGTAAGGGTAGACTGTAATAAAAAAGCAGTAACATACGGACCGGGAAAAGTGCACTTTGAAAAGAGAGAAACCTTGACAGGGGTGACCTTTTGCAACGTTTTTTTCGCAAGGGGCAACAGCATTCTCCCCTACAACGCACATCTCTTGTCCAAATTAATCACAAATAGCAAGTCCATTAGGTGCGAGGCCTACCAAGTGAAACACATACATGCGCCTACATGCCACCTGATTGGATAATTCAGTCGGTCTGGTCAGTGCTGTGTACCGGGTGACTGGGTGGGGGGCTACGGGGCAAGCTGAATGGCTCCCTAATGTAGCCGTTATAGCACTCTGAAGCACGCACGATTCAGAACCACCTCCTACTTTGTGAAGGCCTACTACCTTGCTCGGGGATCAGACCGTGTGTAGCATGCGTAGATCGGCTGTTTAGCTTTGTCGGCCGGCGCCCGCTTCCAGTCGTCTCCACTCTGTCCTGCTACAGGTTCCAGGTGGGTTGAGAGGAGTGAGTGCGGTAGATGCTGCGCAAGTCCCCATCCTGCACCCACCGCTGCATGGCACATGCGGCTGACATGCTGGTTTGCTCCGGCCGAAACTACCAAGTGACCAACAACCTTCGTACGATTTTCGTTAGATTTCGATGCGGTGGCTTGTTGAATTTTGTCAGGACTTGTCGGGCTCGTGTGTGCATGATAGAGCGCTTTAAGAATTGTGTGCGTATGCAAAGCCCCACTTCAGATAATCGTGACCATCGCGGTCTGATGTGGGCTGGCAGTTCCCTGCCACCTGATTTCCCTGCATTTGGTCTCCCGATGGGCGTATAGGCCGTGGGCATAGTTGTGCAGCGACTTGTGTCATCATCTCCACTTTCTGACTCAGTCGGTTAAAATTCTGGTCAAGTGTTTATTGAGGACCAGTGGTGTGGTGGTACGCCTATAGGAGGACGTACGCCGTGCCAGCTACTTGCGCCTTCACCCGCCTCCGGTCTTCTTGACTGTGTCCTGAGACCAGCTTCAGGTGTGACAGATACTGCGCAAGTCCACTCTCTCTGTAAAGTAATTTGCGCGCAAGTCACCGTCCTTTCTCTCGCCCTGCTGTGCTGCACTCGGTGGACATCGTCGGTCGAACATACGCGTTAGTGGGCCGGAGCACTACTGTTTGTGATATTCCTCCATTTTTAAAATGCCTACTAAATCGGGTGCAGTTCGTGCACGACTGTCTTAGGAATGAAGACTTCCTTCAAAGACTGGCATACAAGATATTCGCAGCATTTGAGGATGTGATAAAAGAACAAATCCGGAGGCAACCATTGGGCGTCTGGTAATGAAACCGAAAGACCCGCCGCTACGGCTAGAAACGTCTGGAGTCGTTTATCGGATCTGGTGCAGTTGCGAACAAAGCAACTATGTCGGAGAAAACGAACGAGAATGGCCGAAAACGCTGCAACGATGCGGAGAAATGACGCCAGCTCTCAAGTTGCGGCTCATACGACGAGATCCAGCCACACATTCAAATTCGAGGAGGCCGAAATTCTCGCAAGAGGTGACAATCGCGTGAGCCGGGAGCTACTTGAGTTATGGTTTACTGGTCCCAGTGAATTAACAGGTGGAAGGAACTTCCCCTTTCATAGTCGATACTGAGACTTCGCCTAGGCGGAGTAATTGGCCACGCGGGGAGCGCACAGGTGAGCACTTTTTCCAACACCGGGGTCGGTGCGTCAAATGGTCGAGCAATTTTCACACCAACACCTAACACACGTGATGAAATTGCAGCAATTAACGACGCGCATGTCGGCCATCAGACAGCCAGCACACCAAGTGCAACAATCCATGATGAAGGGGGGAGCCGTGAATGTTCATAGGTATGCGGTAGCATGACGACTGCATCCTATAAATACTGCAGCCCCTTGTGCATGAATCACCCGTATTTGCTGTTGTCTCTGATGATGGATTCGAACAGGAATCCGAAACGTCAGGCCAATAAAGCTCTTGTCCCAACGATCTTGTCTCCTTCTTCAAAGAACAAATCTCTCAGAGGGAGATTTCGTCTGGCAATGGATGCCTTGGAGAAGCACTACGCTCAGTCACATTATGACAGTGATGCTATCCCCAGAAGGTCCTGATTTTTGTATAGCGGGCTACTGCCAGTATTTCCCGCTCTAATTTCCTCGGTAAAAGCCGGAGAACTAACCTTGGGATACACTCTATGTTGACTGGATGTGTAAGATCTGTCTTGCTGCAAAAACACCCCAGATTACGTAATCGGAAGACAGTGCTCTTCTCGAAGCAACCGAAGCTTTATTTAATCAGCACCTCGACAGTTTTTACCGCGGTGCTGACGCACCATGGGAAGTGACGTTAAGAACTTAAAATAGTCAACAGGATCAGTAACACGGGGCGGTGTCTAAAAACGGACCGAAACACGAATTTTCCTAGTTTCTGAAGACAAATTGCGAGTTTATACTACCAATATAATCACTCTTCTGTACTTGACGAATCTGTTTGGCATGTCTGAGCACCGTCAAGGTTGTGATGGAGAGGTTTTTTTTCGCTTGTAAAAAACCAAAATTCAAAGTGAAGAGCCGAACACGTAAAATCACTGAAAAGACGCATGCGTTGGAGACGTCCAAAAACAACATGAAAACACGGAATTATTTGCAAAGGGATAAAGTGCCAAAAGGGGCCCATGTACGCTAGAACGAAAATTTTATCAGCACGACTTTTGGATTTTCACTGAACCCAACTTCGGAAACGGCTACACGGAAAGGTGATGGATGAGTACTTATCACGCCATAAAGCGTTCGGATAAGAGTGAGTAAGTCATCAGCATACCAGGTACGACAGACGGTAACGAATGTGAGAGCAGTTAATTATGATGCGTACGTGTTCTCATAGCAATTACAGTAGGTGGGCTAACTCATGAAATGTCAACCGAAATTCCGAATCGCGTTTTCGTTTCGAAAAGATTAATTAAGTAGGGTTGTAAAACTAGTCAGTCTACAACATACTTCTATAATATTTCAGTTACCTGAGGACGCCGGCTTTCGAATGAACTTCCTTCCGGCCGCATGCAAGAACTATGCTCTGTAAAAAAGACTACTTAAGTAGCACTAATTTTTCTCCTTGATTTTCGGTGTCCCTAAAATTCAAATTATATTTCATGGAAAAAGTGAATAGAACTATTCATTTTTTCACTCATTCGGTAAAAAAATTACGTCTTCTTCTAATTTTATACTCGAAGGAGGAATTTCGGTTGACATTTCATGAGTTAGCCTACCTAGTGTACATGTTATAGATATTCCAAACCTCGTGCGTCCGTCACACCCGACTGTAACTGTCTTTAATGATACGCTCGAGTGAGATTCCGAAACGTCGGGCAAATGAAGTCTTCTTTATGGTCCGCACGCCCGCCTAAGAATTAATTCTAGGTATCTCATACCACGCGTGCTTTACGACCGGTTATTGAAGGACTCAGGATTTATTGCATGCCGCAGTAGTCGCTCGAATATACGGACTGTGTGGATGTCTACTCGAGCAGTTGGTAGCTCTGTCGGTTTTATTTCATCCGCCATGCAAACAACTGTACGGACTGTCGTATTACTTCGCGAGGAATTGGTTTCGAGGAGATAAAACGAGTTTGGACCACAAATACACGCTTCTTACCGATTGTCACGAGGGGTGATTGGTGTCGTACGACACTACCCTTCAGTAGGCCTGACGTAGATGCTTTGAGCCTAACTGGGAAGGCACCATCGGCCCAGATGAGTTCACCAAGCTAGTACCCAACCGGAGTTTATGCCTCATTGGAGTATGGTGAATTGATCAGAGTTCGTGCACTACCGACTCCCTGTTGATAGCCTGGAAATATTGCTCAGTTTTCCTGCTGAAACTGCTAGAGTTCATCTGAAGTCTTCGGTAGGATGTGGTTATGTAGAATCACCTAATGGACACAGTACTGTTGGGGTTAGGGTTAGAAGTTATGATTAGGGGTTAGGATTAAGGATTAGGGTTAAAAGTTAGGGCTAGGGGTTAGCGCCACTATTTCTTAACCACTCAGAGTACAACTGCCCACTCCCAATAGTTTTTCTTTTGCATACAAGTACTTGGCCTCGTCGCCTGTGCGTTCCCCGGCCCCATATATAAAAACCCCTATTACCACCGATCCTGTATTACAGACGTCTGGAGTGGGCCTGCTTCAGGTGGGGCTACATAACCACATCTGACCCACTATCCATGTCGACCACTGGACCGAGTCCAAAAAGGGTCTTGAGACTGCGGATTTACTCCAAGTTCGCGCATTATTTTCTTGGGGGGTTTAAAGAGCTTAACATTGAGAAATGGGATATATACCAGATAGCACAGAGACAAAACAGGTAGACCCCACCGGTGAGCGGCACTCCTCGCAGCTGCCTCATGCAGCATCACAAAGCCGGCGAAACAGGCCTTCGGGCGTTAGGCTTGTACCTGTGCTAAGAGTATGGTGAATCAGTATCTGTGTGTGTACTACTGATTGGCTGCTGGTAGCTCGTGAATATTGCGTGGTTATTCTGCTGTTGCTGATGATGATGATGATGATGGTGGTGGTGGTGGTGGTGGTGGTGGTGGTGGTGGTGGTGGTGGTAGAATTCGGTTGAAATACTTGTGTCAATTTTCCGAAAAAGTCTTAAAATATCTTCCCCGAAGGATTTATTCCAAGTTCGCGCAGTAGTTGCTAGAGAAGTTTGAAATAGGCTTCGCGTACAAGGAATCCACCTTCTGTTCCGTGTATCCCATGTGTGCGGAGATATCCGATAATGTGGTGATTTTTGTCGTTTATGTTCGACTGCCAGACACATTTTTATGGTAATCTCCTTATCACGGTTGAAAATCAATACAAACGGAGAAACACCGAAAGCCTTATATGAAAGTCTGATATGCAAAACGATGAGCGACCCAGGACAGACAATCATACATCACAGGGTTGATTATCAGTGAGCGGTAACTTCAAGGAATCATTGCCAAGTGATCCTTACGAAGAGTTAGATGATTATCCACTAGCATAAGATCAGCTAGATTAAGTAGATTCCGTAGGTCTTGGTTTGATTCATTTTTCTAGAAAATGCCCACGACGGGGGAGGTTGATTTCTAGAAAATTAGGAGTCGACCACTAATCTGCAGGATGAAAACTAAGGCGTCTCGCAAGAAACAAACAGCCACATCATTCACAGTGTCTCTTTTGCCAGAAATCTACTCAGTCGTGAGTTGCTGTCTGAATAGCGTTTTGACCCTCCAACACTATACGGTGTTGCCTAAATACCATGCGTCCTAATTCAGCACACCATGACCTCAATGCAGAGATGTCTGCAGCGGGAAAAACACGAGTGACCTTTAGATGTTGATCGACAATCATGATTGAGCACAAAGCCCACTTCACAAAAAGGACTCACTCAGTCGGTTGAAAGTTTACTTCTGCAGAGACTTTAGAGTCCTGTCTAAGAACAGTTCAGAAACCATGAGTTAGAAATACTAAACTAGATGAATAAAGATTCGTTCCCTGCCAGAATTTTACTTAAGATCTGCCGCAAGTAATTTGTGCGCTTTTGTTGGAATTAGTCAAAGAGGCATGTGACCTACTGAGAGTGGATTGGGTCATCCAGTAATTAAGCAATGCAGTTTACTTGAACCAGAAAGACAAGATCCATCGAAGTATCTCCCATCATGCCAATTCCTAGGCTCCTAAACTTCCTGTTTTAAAAATCTCATCTTCCCAAACTTCACAGAGCTCATCTGATTATGCAAAAGTTGTATCCAGTTAATGCTCGATGCAGGATGAAAAAAGTGCGCCATAAATCCGGCAATTCCAAGTTAAAAAGTGGCATTTTCGCAAGAAATGGAACTATTTTTACGATAGTCATTTGCGCTAATAGAGACAAACACAGAAATTCCATCATCTTGTTGACAAGAAGAAGAGCGATCGACCATCCGAAGAGTTAGCATGTTTATCTGATCTATCCAATCCATTCGGGCATTAATCATCGAGGGACAACGGACAAGCAGTTAAAAGTGGTCGGTTTTTGAACTGCCCCACCGCGTGCAGACTGCACGCGTCCCTACCTGAATGCAGTCTTGCTCCATTTGGCAATGAGAACACAAAGCACGATTGGCGGATGGCGGATCGATAGACCAGCCGATCTCAGTGGTACAGAAATCAACTGGCTCTTCAGCTTCCTTGGTCTAGGTCCGTGCTGGAAACATTATGTCTGCGAAGACGAATCCTTGTTCTGCCTGTGGGTTTTTCTGTGATGAGCCGTACTTTCACATAAATGCCTTATTTCATGTATACGCAGGTTCAACTTCCTGCCTGAAGACCCATGTAAATGCAGACGCAATTGCGGCCTGCATGTTGACGAAAAGCGACAAATTTAATAAGTGTGTTCTTTTTATTTCTAATCCCTACGAGTTTTGTACGCCAGCTTACGCATAAATGAAAGCCCTGTGTAATTACGGGTATTTGGAGAAGAATCCGGGTAATAACCCAATTAGACCACCTATGCTTCGGACAAAAATATATGAAAGAATGCCCTGACTTCTTCCGTAAGTGTTTAAATTCACTATAAAAGGTCTTCTGTGGGCCTAGGTCCTAGAACTAAAGATTGTGGCCCAACCACTCGAATTCTATACATTTTTCGGTTAAATACGAAAACCTTACCGTCAAATGTCTAGATTCCAGCGGGCGGAAGTCTATCCTTAGAGCTCACCTTGCATGATGTTCTTCAACCTTGTTTTTGTCTAAGAGAAAGTGGTTGAAGGGAGCATTATTTGAATTTCAAAAATCTTTTAGTTTGGAAGGACGTGGGTTTGGTTGTCAGCGTTCTGGAGGGAGGGGGGTGGCGAATTCAAAACTAAACTTTTTGTCCATTTTCCCTTTCACCAAAGTCCTTTACTTGCAACTACACTTGCTTGCCCGACCGCCTTCAGCGATCACAAACGCAGTTAAGAGCGACTATTCAAGTAGTATAGGTTTGTCGTTTTTTTATTTCCTCAGAAATTATCTACGAAGTTGGAGTAGATCAGTTTATTCAAGGTCTATAGGCTCAGACCGAGAATTTTTATGTATGAATAGAGTACGTGACCGATCTTATGAAACGATGGCCGAAATTCTGAAATGTGTTTCCGATTAGGGAGGATTACTTAAGTGGATTTATAATACTGACTATCTTGCGGCATAATCCTATAATATTTCGGACTTGACAGGATGACCATTTTTGAATGCGCCTCTTTCCGACCTCCTGTAAAAGCCGTATTCGGTAAAAAATGACTACTTCAGTAGCATGAAATTTTACATCGATTTTCAATGATCTTGCAAATTCAAATATATTTTATATATGTTGTGCATTTCATGAGGAGCATTAGTAAACGGACAGGTACGATGCTGTGTGAATGGACAGTGCACGGTCTTCAAAAATCTATTAATTAGAAACTTTTTTAAAATCTAATTATAATGCTTCTTCAAGTTTACAATATGAAGATGACGTGATTCTCTATCAAATTAGTAAAAGAAAGCATTTTTGTTCGTGTTTTTTGTGAAATATATTTGAAATTATAAACCATATAAAATCAATGTGAAAAATACATGCTACGTAAGTAGTCATTCTTTGTCGAGTACGGTTTCTACTGGAGGTCGAAAAGATGTGAATTCAAAATTCGACATCCTACGAAGTCTGAAATGTTATAGGATTATGCCGCAAGATAGTCAGTAGTACAAATCCACCTAAGTAATCCCTCCTAATCAAAAACGCATGTCAGAATTTCGACCAACATTTCATGAGATCGATCGCGCATTGTATTTTGGCTGAAGTGCATCGGCCACAGCGGGTAACCGCGTAATATTCATTAACTGTCGACAGACAGCTATTAGTATACTTTAGGATAAGGTGATGCCATACTAACAGCACAGGTACTAGCCAAAAGCCCATACACGCGTGTTTCGCCGATATTCTGCCGCTGCATGACGCAGCTGCGAGGGGTTCGGCTCGTCAGTGGGTCCTGCCAGCATTCCCTGTGTGTTTTCTGGTAAATACTCCAATTTAGAAATTGTCGCTTTCTAATTT